GTTGATTTGAAATACTCCTTTAACCAGGATGAAAATGGAAATGTTTCCTCTCTTCTTATGCACCTCCTATCAGATAAGTGACAAACGCAGGCATAGGAGGGAGGAACGATCCTTAACACATTGACAGCCCCAGATCACTTTCCATTTGCAGATCAACAGAAAACGCTCTGTGACAACAGGGGTAAGACTGGGTAAGCATGAAGAGAGTTTGACTTCTTCTCGACATTGGAGGAGGTGTTTTGTGGCAGGTGGCAATGTAGCAGTCTTGTGGAGACCAGTCAGGAGTAATGGGCTGGAAAATCCAAGGTCACCAGTGCATTATCTTCCTGGTGCTTACTACTGGTGTTGCATAAAGCACTGGCTCAGATTATTTAAGGCACAATTGGAAGTGGGCGGGGGGGGAAGGAGAAGGGGAAGACATGATGCAGCACGGTGTTCCTTTCTGCAGAGACTCTGTTTTTTTAGGTAAGACTTATTTTATTTTTATTTTAAAGTCAGATGCTTATTTGTTCTCTCCTTTGACAGCTGAACACTGTTATACATGGCAACTGTCACCCTTTCCTAAAGTCATGCAGGCTTTGGTGCTGGGTAATGGGGAATCCAGCCCAGAGTCTGTTAGACTATTTGGAGCACTATTCCCCTTCCCCCCCGCCCCTTAATTTCAGAAGTATTTGCCTTTTCTGAACTGATATTGAAAAGGATAACTAAGTTACAAGGGCAAGAAGTACCTCCAGTGAAAGGTCATGGGCAACAAGCTCTAGATGGCCCTACTTGAGCAGGGGGTTTGGACCAGATGACCTCCAGAGGTCCCATCAACCTCATTCACATTCTGCGAAGTTCAAAATCCCAAAGGATTTTTTTCTGACCAAAGCTTTTCCTTCCATTTGAGCACAGTGAGGTTCTTACTCTTAGCTTGCTCCCACACTCTTGTGTAGGCTGGATGTCACTGTACTCTGATGTGTTACTGTGTTTCTGGAGACTGATGGAGGATGTCAGACTAAAAAGGAGGGAGAGTGATCTCTGCTGCAGAGGAGTGTTTTTGCTTTTTCTATTTGAAGAGCTAATTATACAACATTTTCCAAATTTTACTTAACCGTAATGGCAGATATTTCCAAATTCTAGCAGTAGATTATATAAACCATCATCCTATCCATTCAAGTAGTTCAGAATATGTTTTTGTTTGGTTGGGTGGTTTTTTATGGCTTTTTTTATTTTTTTTTCAGTTTTATATTCTTATAGGAAGACTTAAATATAAAAACAAAGATCAGTTTTGCAGTAGAGCTGTCAAAAAAGCAGTTTCTGTTTTACACGTGTGGATTTTGAGGGACAAGGAGAACTGGTTTCAGGCTAAATCTGAGAAATCACACATCTGAATTTGCTGACAAATAAGAACTTTCTGTCCCTTTAGATTTTTAGTTGAAACTGATGTCCTTGTCAGCATCCCAGATGACACCAGTAACGAAACTGCCAACATTGTCAACTCCATTGGGCTAGCTGCCTGTTTCCCTCAAGGTCTCAAGATGCAGGACAGCCCTGTTAGCAGACTCCCTGGGGCTATTGCTCTGCAGCTTCAAGAGTCTCTGGCTCTGGGGCAGACTAATAAATTATGTCTGACTTAAGCCAAAAGGTACAGTTGCCTCTGGCCTCTAGGCAGATACATCAGGAATCCAGATAAAAGATTAATCAAAGCTCATGATTCCCAGTATACTTAAAACATAATGTTTATGGATCAGCTCTTCTTTGAAGAAACTTGGTTTCGTATGAATATCCCCAACTAGTTCCACCTTTCAAACCAGATCAGACAGATCTGGTATGGTTACAAGGGCTGGATTGTGCAGCAGAAGATATGTAGTAGCTGTATGTAAAGAGGAGGTAAAATGCTCAAGCCTGTCAACAGATGTATTTTTACCTTTCAAATCAGATCAATTCATCTCGGTAGCTATTTGAAGCAGAGAGACCCTGCCTACATTTTGAAGCTTATGCAATTGAAACATATTTTTGCTGTATTCCAGATATCTCTTTGACTGGACTTTTGATCATCTTCTACTATGACTCAGGGAGGGCAACATGAGCTCACTACATCATTCTGTCTTTTACATCTGCCTCTGTGGCTTTCCTTGTTCTCACCTGAATCTATGTACTCAGAAGATGAGACAAAGTTGTCCCACAAACCATCCCTCTGGATCAAAAGACTCAATTCTTTTTTAATCTTCATCCTCCCCCTTTATTATACAGCCTACCAGCCTCTCCACTTCCTCTTTTTGACTGTAGTCCATTCATGTCTTTTACCCCTACATTCATCCTGTAGCCTTCATCATCTCTGTTATCCCACCTTTTCAGAATTCATTTGCTTATAACCTGGAAGTTTGCAGAAACAAACTTTTACCAGCTACATTTTCCTGTTCTCCTCTCTCTGATACCTGCAAGCAGATGCTCTTAAAGGCATTCTTTAAAGAAATTGGGAATAATAACTCGTCTGGAAGTTAGCATGATTTTCTTGAGGAGGTTCAGGGTACTTCTGCTATTGAATTCTGAGGCACTGCATGCAGTACACTCGTGCTATGTCTGTGTTGTCTTGGCTGAATATACCATTCAGCATAATCATGTAAATTCAAAATTAAAAAGTAAGAGTTTTATTTCTTTAGCAGAAAATTAGAGGAGCTGAGACAGCTCATTTGGCATGGCAGCATTCCATTGAGTCGAAAGGTAATTTTCAGGGACTGCATCTTTGGTAAGTATTCCTGCAACAGTGGGGTAGTGATTTTAATGTGCAGTGCTGCATTTTAATAGCCAATTGAGATGGCTATTAAGATAGAGCATTGTACATTAACATCACTGCTGCACAGAGAGCGGCTGGTGACTGCTCCTCAGATGACGGCTCTCTCTGCATTCTGCTTCATAGCAATGGTTTTCTTAGTAGCTTCTCTGATCTCCTGCAAGGGAAATAAAAATCATTATCTAGTTAATATTTCACACTGTGTTGGGCATCCAGATCCCAGAGAGAGAGAGTGGGAGAGTAGAAATGTGATTCTTGGGGGGGGGGGGGGGGGGGAAGAGGGGAGGGAGGGAGGAAGGGGATCCAGATGGATTTGTACATACACAGATTAATTTCTACAACAGAAAAGAATTGCATTTCTATTCCTTGTTGGGTTTGTTTTTAATTCTGTCAGTTAATTTAATACACTATTCATGGTATTAATAAGCAACAATCACCTCTCATAGACTCAAAGGGTAAAATATATACTATACTCATAGACTAAGTATAGTAGCAACATTCTGTCCAATGCACTTACTGCTAACTACAGCCACTGCCACTCCAGTTCTGGTGCAGAAATGCATGAAGCAAGACCCAAATCAATGCAGGATGTCGTTCCATTTGTCCATTTCATCACAGTTTTACTTTTACTGCATTAGCCAACAAAGCTCTGTTCTCTCAAGAGTCACTGTCAGTGTGACATTTAGTCATTTAAAGGAAAAAAATCTTACAATTATTTCCAAATAAGAAGTGTGTCCACCAGCAGCCTTAACTGTTTTTGATAATTCTTTTTTCTTTCTGTTATTTTTAACTATTTTTTCTTTCCTGTTCCTTTATAGAAACTTCACAGAAAGAAGGAAATTTACTTTACAGATTGATTTTCAGGGAAAGCAATGAATCTGTGTAAAAGTGCTATCACAGATACAGAGTAAAGAAACTGAAAATAATGGAAACTTGCTCCTCCTATTTATTTCCAGTTTTAATAATCTTACAGTCAACTGTAACAACAGAACAAATATTTTAAGACAAAAGCGTGCTTTCAGAGTTGGTCATAATTCATATAATGATAGATCTCATCTGTAGTTCAATAAACATCAGAATATCTGGCAAAACTCTTGAATAAGAGAGTTGCATGCTGCGATCAGATAGACGTGCAGCACTGAAGCCAAAGGAAATTGTGGCTGTAATCCTGCAACTGAATCTCTGCAGATGGCATCTCCATGCAGCAAATGGGGCTTCCTATAGGTGCAACGGTCTGCTTGTGCAGATCTGAGATCTGAATTGGGAAGAATGCACGCAGCTGAAAGTCCCTTGAGCTGTTAGACTCTGGCTTTGCACAACACTACTGCATTGTAATGACTACATTTAGAAGTAAATGAATGCAGGGTATGCATAAATAAAATTAAATATTTGTGATGTGGCATTGTGTCTCAGTAGATATAAAAATTCTACCTAAAAGGGTACTATTCTATTTTTTTAAAGCTTCTAATCCCCCACCAAGCTGATACGAGAGAGACTGTCCTCTCTCCAGTCATTACAACCTGCCCTCAAGTCCTGAATCTGTTCCTCTTCAAAAACTTCTGTGGATTGTTCCAGGTAAAATTAACATTTCTCCCCACCCAGACTGAACAACTGAAAAAGACTTGCCACGTACAAGCACTAAGCTGCAGCAGTCTATGCTCATAACTCAACTCAGAAGTCAGGCTCAAGACTCAAGGACATATCAAATAGGCTCGTTTCTGATTAGGAGTGCTGATACCGTAACACCAATGCCACTTTGGGGAGTGGTACGTTTCTGCCTAAAACGCTGGACTTCTCAGTGTCATTCAAAAACTAAGGCTTGTGCTACCAGCTCTGCTAATGTCAGCAGAGTTACTACTTCCCTGATAAAGGGTAAAACAAAACAAAACCTGCACTCTGACCACCTTCCTTATCTTAACTTTTTTTGCAACCTGTTACATTTATGGCTTTCCTGCAGAGGCAATCTGGACAGAAGTATGTCTTTTCCTCCAGAACGGTGTCATAAAGTAGTTATTTCTCACACCAAATCTCACCTCTTTGCCTTCTGAAAGAGTCTGTTCAGACATCAACATTAGTTGCGTCCAGAGTGGCATCAATGACAAAGGAGCACTCTCCTCAAAGCCATGACACAAAGCCATGCTCAGGATTTGAACCCAAGTCCCTGCTATTTCTACTAAGTAAACCCATTGGATTATTTTTTTTAAGGAATTAAATCTTGGAAGTCACTTTTTTCACTTCTGACCACATACACAAGCTCCATCTACATTTGCATTAGTCCAGTGCTGCACAGATTCATGTTGCTTTACTAAGGAGTATTTAGCTACCAAATGAAGGGAAAACTCAATTTACTTGTTGCTGTTGATTGTATCATGCACTAAGACTTAAAAATAAGAAAGTGAACAAAATAAAAAGAAAAGAAAAGGAAAAGCACCTGAATGGTTCTGACTCATGTACATCTAAGGCTGCCCCTCGTATCCTTCCTTCCTTCAGGGCCTGTGCAAGTGCTTTTTCGTCTACTAACCCACCTCGAGCTGTGTTGACCAGGAAAGCCCCTTGTCTCATCTAGGGAAAGTTAAAAACAAGAATGATGAAATAAAAATAAATGAAATAAAATCGTTGTGGCATTAGTTTTTACTCAAAAGAAGCATCCATTACAACAAAGGCTATTCAGCTGATGTAACCTGTAACAGTTGTCTTCCCTTTCCATTGGAAAGTACCACAAAATGTGATGCTTCTAACATAAAATGCTATTTCACAGCACTTAATAACCTTTTGTTTCTTGTAAGTAGTGTCTTTTAATAGAAGCGTTGTTTCAGATATTGTGCAGTAACATGATCAACAGATACAACTGTGCATATGAAAGTGACAGATCATTTTATGCCTTTTTATTTCACTGTGAAATTGCATGAGACAGAAACTACAGCACATTCTTAAACAAATTCATCTTTTGTGGTTTTCAACTTTCACACAAATAAAAGCCTACATGAATTTTTCAGAAAAATCAATGCTTTTGGATTTTCAAACACTTTTCCCTTTAGTTGCCAAACACAGTAGATCTAAGTTTTATTTATTTTTGCTACTTCAGCTTCCTCCTCCCTGTGAGACTTTTCAAATAAAGGTCTAAAGGATTCTTATATTATTCAATTAAAAGGCATGAAAATGAATTTGGTTGAGAACACTGTGTGCCCAGGAGAGAAGCTGTGCTGCGCATTGTGCAGATTAGCATTGTAGATGAAACTGTGCGGGGAGAACTACGAGAATTTACACCATAATATATCCACAACTCGAAAACAAAGTGGCGGTTTAAATAAGAGAGATGGTACGGAAAAAAAATAAATTACTACATCCTGCTTCCAGCCACCCTAATACTTCATCTTTTACCAGATGTCTCAAACACAGCTTCTGAACTCAGAAGCATTTCTGTGCATGAAGGTAAGCATATGAAGAGCAGGAACCATGGTGAAGATGAATGATAAAAATCTCATTTTGTACTGACTCCATCTCTCATCATAAGAACAAGAAAACCCCAACATTTTGACACCAAGTCAACTACTTGAAACCTACACATCAAACCAAAGCTTATGTAAATGGATCCTTACTCTGAAAGACTGATTCAAAGTGCCAAATTCATGAACAACAAGGAGGTTTGGATGAAAGTCAGCTACGAGAATTTTTTTTACATGAGATCATATGAAATACTAAACAATTAACATGCATATGCTTGCAGTAAGGTTATGATGAAAAAACCCACCATTTTTTACTGTCCAGCTCACTAGGTTTAGTGTAGCCCTGCCTCTCTCCGTTTGCAGACTCTTGGGCTTACAAGAGAACCATCTACTGGTCTGTATAGCAAAACCAAAGTCCACTTACGGGAGCAGAACTAAGGGGTACTTCTTTCAGTTTTACGTAATTAACTTGGGAATTAGAACAGTGAAGAAATGGTGGCATGATCTTAAGTTGGTGTAGTAACAAGACATTCCTGATTGGAACCATCACTTCATCTCCACTACTTAAGTCAGCTGTGAGAACTAGATCAAAACTAGCACAGGACGGCTCACGCAAGTGACAATCACACCTGCTGTGCAGACATGCCATATAGGCTCGTGGGAGCTTATATACCCTTCTTATTTCTGTGCTCTTGCAAACAGATAATTTGAGCTTTAAGTATAGCTTAGTGTATTTATATGCCCTTTGAAGGACTTGAAAATTTTAATTAAAGTGAACCCTGCTAAAATTTTCTGTCCAATCTTAATAACCTTGCTTGAGTTTTCATTTTAGGACTATTTACAAAACTCTAAAGCTAGTACTAAGACAAGCCCAAATCAAACAGAACATGGAGGCATAAATGCATTCTAGTGGGAATGAATTACGTGACTTATGATAAACTATAAGGGTGGATGCAGCTGGAGATGACCCTGAACAATGGGTGGAAGCTTGAAAGAGCTTCACAGCTAGAACTGCTGATGGCTGTTAAATTCACCTACACTAAACCTGCAGAGCTGCTTTAAAAATGTATTGCGTTTAAATTGCAGTGTCTTTTTCTCAAACCTGTAAAACTAAAGATGACCTCAGCTTCTCTTAAGAGCACCTGATTACCATGGGTTCAATAAACACAAGCCTGAAACACTTCTCTGAGCTACTCTGGGTCTACAAGACCAAGCACGATGGCTAGGCAGAATGCTGACTAATTAAAGGGAAAAGCTACTGAAAGAGAAGACTGACACCAAATTTTCAAAAACACTTCAAGGTTATGTAGTTTCAGATTCTAAATAAATTTCAGGGTGAGACTTCAGTGAAATAAGATGCACCATACTTCTCTGTACTTTGTTTAAAAACTGGTTATTACATGAGCATGCAATATTGGACAAAAGTGGCATGCAATGCTCTCCAAAAATTTTAGGCCAACTCTAACATCTGTCAGCCTAAAAAACCTATTCTGCTCTTTTTGATACATATTCAGAAGATCTCCTCTACGCAACCTCAGCAGTCAGAGGTGTTACAATTTTATGGTTTTCACATCAGTTCTTACAATAGACTGCTTCATCCAAACTTTTATCCAAAGCAAGAACTATATTCTAATGTTTTAATCCTTGCTGTAATCACGAAAGATAACAAATAGCAAGATAAATTGCATTTATCCACCTCCACTCAAAAACTTCCCATGACACACTGGCCCAAGTGTCACAGTCCACTGCATAATGAGTGACCACTGCTAAGCCTCCAGGCGGTCCCACTGAATTCCATGTGATTCTGTCTGGGCCTAGATGTTTGCTTGCATTTAATGGTAATAACCATTAAATGTACCTGAACACACAACAAAAGAGAACGTTCAGGGCAGGGTGACAGAGCTCTGTTCTCTTAGAGATCTGCATTTTAAACTTCTTAATTTTTTAGAGTTTTAAATCCCAAACCCTAATTTTATGTTGGGATAGATCTGCAAAATCCCTGAAGTCTCCAATCAAGGAGTGTATTGTATCGTCAGTTTTCTGCCATGATCCTACATGACTGTGGAACACATTCAGTAATTACTTCAGTTCTCCTAAAGTTCAAGAGTAGTAGGTGCAAACTATTTCTCAGAAGCCAAGCAATGATTTTACTGCAAAACAGTGCTACTGTCATTGTTACCAACACATACAAACACTGCATATATAAAAAACAGCAAAAGCAACTATCTTAGAGTTTCTTTCCTGTACACTATCTACATTCTTACATCTCAACGTTGTATTTCTTGCTGTTACCTACACTGAGGTTGAAGTCAGAAGCGAGACATTTAATGAAAAAGCTTACTATCAGATTAGTCAATAACGGAGCAGTTACTACACCTAGATTTTGAAATTATTTTAGTATTACCTAAAACTTTAGGGAGAGGTTAGTACTAATTCCAAGAAACATTATTTTTCCAAATAATGCAATGCTGTAAACACGATCCATCCATGAAGCGCTCTGCAAGCATCAGGACTGAGCACAGGGGGGAGCCATTTAGTCATAATCCTTAAATTGCATCTAAAGAACTCAAACTGAAGAACAAGATTGAAAGGCAGAATTGCTACCTGAAAATACACAGGTAAAGGAAGCAGCTACTAGAAGACATAGAAAAAGTGCTTTTACATAAATGCAACTTTATTAAATCCGAACAACATTAAGAAGAGCAAATTATTTCCACAAATGCAATGTTACTGAGCAAAAAAGACAATAGAAGCAACAACACATAAGCTATTTCCTGAACAGTTATAAACCTGCTTGATCTCAAAGTGGCAAAAGGGAGAGAAACTTCTTTCAAATGAGAATCTGCCTGTTTACATCAATAAACGCTATACAGTGTCAGCCACCAGCACCGGTGTGGAGGGCGCCCACAGAGATTATTACCTGCTTTATGGTGAAGTCATTAATAAGATGATGATTGTGTTCATTCAAGTTGCAGTGCAGGGTAACACAGTCACTGTGGAACAGCAGGTCCTGCAAAGTGCTCACCCGCTGCAGTCCCAGAGCACGCTCCATGCCATCTGAGAGGTATGGGTCATAGAAAATCACACTGAAGCCAAAGGCTTTGGCACGTAGTGCTACTGCTTGCCCAACACGCCCTAGAACAAGATAAACATGCAATGAGAACAGATGTGAAGCAGCTGGTGTAAGGTACCCTCCTCCTTCCTATTGCAAATGCTTGTATCAAACCACACTGTTTTGTACAGCTACTGGAAGAGGATAAAAAAGAGGCTGCTCCCATCCCACTTGAAATCATCACTTAGATCAGAAATGTTACATCTGAGTTGTTTCACATTGCCTTGGTCAACACAAAGCAGGAGGCTTGCACCTTCTGCAACCAGAGATCTGAAATGCCAGAAGATGTCACATAATCTGCAATAATCTGTGTAATACAAGGGCTCGCCTGCTGGGCCTGTTTATGGTACAACACTACTGCTTGTGAACACATCCTGCCAAGGACTTATTCTTACCCATGTCAGACCAGCTGGCTTTAATAAAAAGCTGTAAAATTAATCCTCAAAAATGGATGCAATAAACGATAAAAAAAGATAGCTTTAATAAAAAGCTATAAAATTAATCCTCAAAAATGGATGCAATAAAAGATAATTTGTTTAATCTGAAGCTCAACCATTCTCAATGCATGGAATCTCCTTTCTGAACTAGTATTTTCTTTCATTTTGAGTAACATCCTTTCAGCATTAAAATACCTACAAGAATCCTGTCATCTAAGGCTGTAAAAAATTTTGTATCCATTTACCTAAATGATGAGTAAATACAGTCCATCATACGGCACCTAGTTAAGAAGAGTGCGGTACCATTTGGTATTCACATTGACCTCAGCTTTTCTCTGTTCCACTTTCCTTACTGTCATATTTCAGAGTTGTGCCTGAAATTGCTGTTTGGGCATGACTGCATGCCACATGTATCAGGAGGTGTGTATTCCCCTTTGACACACTACCAGTAAAACACAGAGAAAAAAAGTGAGTGAGTACATCTAGTGAGTAACAGTATTTTGAAGAACGAGAACTAACACACTTTTCAGGTTAGAAGACTAAACGCTGGATACTCACGTTAGAGTATTACAAATGTTAGATAAAGACATTTCAAAAGCATCACTAGACACACCATAATAATCATGTCTCATTTAAAAAAAAAAGTCAACAAGTTTTCTTTTGTAACATCTGAGTTTGTTCAAAAAAGCATCAAATTAACACAGGGAAATCCCATCTCTTTCCAATTGTGCTTGAAGGGATTTCCCTCTGCTTTTCAGTTTCTCTTTGAATAAACTTAAGAAGCCACAGGAAGAAAGGTTTTTTGCTGATCATTTAACCTGAACACAGCAATTCTGGAGTGCTTAGTGAGAGATGTGCTTGGAATATTAAACAGTATGTCAATCTGATGGGGGCTGTGTGCTTTTCTTCGGGTGCACCAAGTTAAAATACTCTTTAAAATCTTTTATTTCAATACTTGCATACATGTTATTTGTTTGCTTTCCAAGCTGTTTTTTATAAACTTGAATTAGACAATTTTCAGCACAAACACTGTATTATTTTCAAATTTTGGCATGTTCACAGCTCAAGGAATCAGTCACACAACAGTAAACATTTTTTTTTTACACAAAGCATACCGCTTTTACCCCAGCTCCATTCATTTTCACATGCAACGTTCTGTCATCTGTTCTTTTTTTACACTCTTTACAACACCAATACCTGAGGGGATTCACAACAGTGAAATCTCTTACAACAGACTCTCCAGATAGAGCTATACTTTCCATTCATTGCAACCAGGCTAATAAACCAAAGCCTTCTTCAATGTGCACAAAGTTTCCTTCTGAAAGACCTGGGAATCACATGAGCGTACTTCTAGCCAGAATTGTCCTGTTACAATCATTTTATGGGATAAAACTCCTCCGCAATTGACAATCGCATTTGGTCTTAGTCGTTAGGCAAATACATACACGGACACACGTAATTTGCCAATTCCTTTTTAAACTACAGTCTGACAATATAGTACAACACAAACCTATGACGGTTTTTTCCTCTCCTGAACAACTTCTAAGACTCTCCTGGGTATGCGGGGTGGCTCAAACCTACCTCAGCATATCAAGAACAACAGAACAGCACACAAAGCATCCCACCTTCGGGACATCTCTCTCTTAAAAGCATATACAATTGCTATGAATATTCATGGCTGTTTCCAGGGAAGGCAAATTCTGAAGTTCAAAATGTCAAATGAACTTCTTGGTCTGTAGTGTGGGAAGAATGCAGAAACCACACATTGCATACAATTGCAAAAAAAGCAGAAGCAACAAAAGCCTATTTTGGAAATTAGAGATTTAGATAAAGCTCTAGCAAAGCCCATGGATCATTTCAGTGACACCAGAAGTGTGAAGAGAGACTCATCAAAAACGCCTGGGTCTCCTGTTACAGTCTGACCCATCTACTCCCCCCAAGTCCCCCAATTCCCCCTAAGTCTCCCAGTTTGTAGGGGTCTCTGACCTTGACCTTGCCAATGACCTGATTTGAGTGTGACAGTATAGTAGCTGCAGTTACCAATGCCACCTGCCCAGCCCTTGGGCAAAGAATGAGCATCCTATGCTGGTATTACAAAGTTTTATAAAATGCCCTTGATACCATGGAAACGTTGATGACCTGCCTGCGGACTTCCGTGGAAAGAAAAAGTGCTTTCACTTAGCAGCTCCTTCCTGTCTATGCAACAGTAATGGAGAATCTGGGTAACTTTTCCCCCCTCTTGGAGAACTCTGTAACGTGGAGAGTGCCATTTTGTTACATTTCCTGCTATGAGTACATTAAGAGAGCTAGTAGGACTGCTAAGGGTACATCATTTATTGCATGGTAATACCACCCAACTCTTACGCCTTAATGTTGTCTGATAATGCAGATCAGTACTTTGGCCAACATCTAGTCAGGACCACGGGACTGTTGAGAGAATACAGCAGGTGAGGAAAGACAAACTGAGTGATGACATTCATTATGATGCGGAGACAAATGTATTTGGAGGAATTTCACCTCTCTCGAGTGAGGAAATGCATTAGCTATTAGTCATCAGCATTTGTAACTGGGAAGGAAGGGGAAGGGAGTGTGCCTTCACTGCTGTAAAATTATCACAGCAGAACCAGGTCCAGCTATCTATTCATCCAAGTACTTACATGGTGCTGCTCATAAATATTCTCCTTTAAAAAAAACCTCTAAATGTCTAGATATGAGATGAAAAGGTAGCTTTTTTTTAATACAGGGTTTACTATCCAAGCTTGTGATGCATCACTTGAAATATAGGACACTGGATAGTAATAAAGATTAAAATGTGACAAAGACAGCTGTTTAATGATGTGATATTATTATTTATGTAAGGCTCAAAGAATCACACACTTCATGAAGACAGAAAGAAACACAGGCTCTGCCCTAAGGAGCTCAAGAGGCTAACCAAACAACAAAACAATGACGAATGATATCCAACAAGCACATGAAGGAGCCATTATGCTGTTGAGTCTCTGCTTATCTTCAAGCTCAATACAAGCAGAGGATGAGAGATGGGGTTAACTTTAAAGGAAGAGCACGGAGTAATAGGATTAAGCAGGATAGACCAAGTGTCAAAGCAGGAATATGCATGAGAGGAGGCAAAGAAAAGAGAGTGGGTGAAGGAAAGAAAAAGCCAAGTGAGTCACGAAAACTTGGCTAGACCAGTGGATAAGGAAGTGAATAGCTGAAGCTTTGGAGGGAATGACATAGTCATTCCCTAGCACAGAGATAGGCAAGAGCTAGGGTGTTTCTCTTTGGCAAAACAAGAGAAAAGCCCAGGAACAGATGTGAAGAAGGTCTGGAGTTAGCTGTTGCAGCAGCAAAGTGATAAATTCAAGCAACCCACTGCTGAAGAGACCACAAGTTTAAGACAAGAATAGAGAAACATAGCTGCGGTTGAGATAGGAGATGATCACAGACGCACATTAACGAGAAAGGACAGAAACAGCGATACTACACGGAACTAGAGAAAAGGGCTTAGTAACAGATGATGAGAATTGTTTATTTTGTGTGCAATACATTCACTTCATAGCCTCTTAGTGGTTCATCACTTCTGACATTGACATGTCTAAATAATAAAATAATAAATAATAATAAATTGAGGCAAAACTACAGACATGGGAAGAGGCCACTAGTAGAGAAACATAACCTAAGGGCAACAGTCTTTTGAAGGTAGTTGTAAATACACATTTTAGTCTGAAACTAGAGACAGGTAGCCTCTTGCAGTGATCTGTAATAGAAAAGAGCGTATCACAGCCTAAGTGCCTGAAGTGCTCAAATGTAAAGTCTAGTACAGCCCTATTTCCGTATCTTCTAAAACTACACTTTTATTCTTCATTAATACATAGCTACATAGGAGTTTGTTAGAACAGGTCAGAATCAAAATGTTGTGCCTATTCATATACATGCACAAAAAGGAACAGTGGAAGTTTCCAAAACTGACTTTAAAACTTAATTTTCCTTGAAATTGTGAATATTCTATTGTAGGAAAAGAAACAGGAACAATAAAAGGCTAGAGAAACTGACTGGTTAATAACTGTAACAGATGTGTACCTTTAAAATCAGATTTTACTACCCTTTTAATATGCCATGCACACAAAAGGCTTGTTTTTTAAAGCTAAAACCAAAAACTAGCATTTTACGTAGCTTTACACACATATTGGCAATCTGATTATCCATTTGTTTCTCTATACTTTTCAGTCATTTACAACAAAAAGAACACACACAAAATTCAGTTAAGAAAGTCAATAATGAATGACATTTTTTTCTAATCTCAGTCTGCAATTTGTGCAATACAAAAAATGCAATGCCAACAGGACAGATATCTTCAGCAAACGTGCACATACCATGTGAGCCAAGGCTTAAGTTTCGAAAACTAGGCATGCATGTCCATTTTTAAAACACTGCAGCTGATTGTCTATTATTTATGTACAGATGCTGTGACTGTGAGTGCAATAATCATTGTGTGTTTAATTGAGGTGCATAATTACACGGGCATAGATTTGAGAAAGCAACTTCACGACTAACTTCTTGAAAGTTGTATTTTAAAGGCAATTATTTGACTGTGAAGATGTTTTTGGTGTGTTGCATACTCATTTAAGTACTGTGTAACGCCAGGCTATTTTCAACTTCCAAAAGTAAGAGTTCATGGCTTGAGTTATTTGACAGCAGTGTGTAACTGGAAGTCATTTAAAGTATCATGCCTTTTTGTCAAAATCATATTAGTAATTCCTGTGGATGAATAACACAGCAATTACATCCACAATCTATCAGATCTTTGATAAGACAAGCACACGACTGAGTAATCCTTATATAGAAACCTACTTGCTTGTTTTTACTCTGTACTTCTGTAACAGACAGTAATTAATTCATCTCAAGCAAGCCTGTCCATCTGTTAGATGCTGAAACACATTTAGGGCCATTCAGAGAGGTAAGTAGGTGATTTTATTAGGTCTGGAAACATTTCAAACTTTCTTGCATATATTTTTCCTCTCATTTGAGCTGAAATACAATTTTAGATGCAGCTCAACCAAATGCACGAAATAACTGCTCTGCAGGCTGTTACTGCAGCAAAGACTTCTCAGGTATGTTAAAAACACTAAAAGGAAAAAAGCACAAACAGAACCAGATATGACAACAGACGAGAAATACGACGTATACATGTGACACCGGGTTGAAGTAGCAAGCTCCTTGTCCTGGAAAAGGGAAGTGATGGTGTTTCCTCTTACAACCAGTGTGCCTGACTCCAGGCAATACGGCGACAGAAAGGTGTACAGAAATTCGAAGAATTGAGAGAGTATCAGCAACAAAGTAAGTTTTCTGAGGAAAATGGCCATGTCTAAGGGGAAAACATTTGAGACATATAAACACTAGGAATGAAGCGGTATTATACAGAATGCTTGACATGGAAAGGAGTGAACTAAGTGTTCCATTTTTACAGCTCAAATCTTCATCATTTTTTTAAAGCAATGGAAAGCAAGGAGTATTAAACCACCTCTCAAGCCAACATACCTAATCCAATAATTCCCAAGGTCTCCCCTCTGATCCTGGCAGCTCCAGAAGCCACTTCCCGAATCTGTTCAACGCTTTGTACTCTCGTGCCTTCTCGCAAAGCCTGGTGAAGCCAGGTGGTTCTCCTGTACAGGTTCAGAATGTGGCACATGGTAGAATCTGCTGTTTCTTCTACCGAGGCAGCTGGCACATTACACACTGCGATCCCTGCAAAGAATGGGAGGAAAGGATACCAGTTGCCAAACATTTCTTACTTTCTCCCATTTAACAGCAATTCAGGAGTATGATGTTTAAGTTTACAGATATTTCAACACCTGTTTTGCACAAATACTAAGTTTCTGACTGTAAAGGCAGACAGAAGACTTGACATAATAGTTGATAAATATGTGCAAACATATTTTTTTCTGATTTTTTATTACCATTTGTTGTGTTTGCAAACTAAGGCAAACAGTAAACGGACCACTGAAACCACAAAAGGAAAGTATTGAAGATGTCAAGTAGTTTAGAACACAAGTCTTGGTAGGCGTTTTACATGCACATTGAGATAGGTGTTTTGAATAGCAAAGAGAAATCTGCCTTGCTCTCAACAGTGCAGTTAATGATCATTGTTTAGATTTAATTGCATGAGTTAGCTTTCCACCACTGAGCAGATACCCTCCCAAAAGCTATCTATACAAGTTATAAAAAAGATAAAATAATTTATAATGACAGAAACTCTTATAAAGCCCTCACAGGATGACTATTAGTATTTCCAATTCATGTATGGGTAATTACGACACAAGGAGGGACAATTTGTTTTGCATTGCACATGGGTTTGTAGAATTCCGACAAACAGAACCCAAGCCCTTTCCTGGTCCCTCAAATTAAAGAGATAACCCACCTAATTGTCAATAGGGAAATATAAAATCTGCTTCTGCACGGCATGTAAAGGTAATGCAAAATTAAGTCCATGTTCCTAATAGCTGAAAAGTTACTAGTTGAAAAGGGCGTAACATCAAGCAGCTAAAAGACCGTTACAGATTTCCACAGCCAACTGTGGAAGGTGGATTGATTCAAGACTCACAATACTCCTTTTTTACTTCAAAAAACAGATCAGGCAACAAGTGATTGTAATTGCATACAAGTTATCCCTTTCTGCTTTTTACCTTCCAGAACTCAATATACTGCAGTTAAGCAAAATGTTTACTAGAAAAAGTTTCGTGTCCTTTTTGATTTGTCTCTCTCCATTCTTTCTATTTACTACATGTTCTCTCGCCAAGTATCAGCTCCCACAAATGTCTGTGTCCTAGTTCTGCTGACTGAGATCACAAATAGTATACAGTATAATTTCACGGTGGAGAAAAAAAAGTGGTTTGTTTACTAAAAACACCCTAATACTGTTTTTACTGTCTAGTTGTTTGGGTTTTTACATAAATAAATATTCAATGAGTCCTCAGGTAACACCACTATATCTTATGAAGCAAGAAAGAAAACACATTCTCTTCAATAATAGTAATAACAATAATCTGACAAATAATAAGCTCATACCATATTTATCTACATTTTACAAGTGCCTCCATTCTGCTGCCCAGCACTTTTTTACAGCTTTCTTTAGATCAGTAAAAACCAACATAAGGAACCTGCAGAACTATTCTTCTTTTCTCTGCTGTAGATAAAAGTGCCTGCTGAGTCACTGCTCTTAGACTTACGCAAAGATAAACCAGCATCATTTGCTGGAATATTAATCTTTGCATCCTGCTAACATCAATGGTAGTATGAAACTCACCATTTTTTAAAAATGGGGGAAAAAGCGTGAGTTGGGGGGTAAAGTACAAGACTGAAAAATAACATCCCTTTAAGTCCATCATACTAAACAGCTGCATTTGTTTATACAAAAAGCCTTTTTCATGGAGCAAAAATGCAGGTTTTAGATGGCAAAACAAATTTAATAAGTATGTCTCCTGAGAGCTGGCATCAACAAAATTATGCTTTAAAAGGAGTTTAAAGAGTTATATTACGTATTTGGGAAGAGAAATAAGGAATTGAACTCACTTTAGACCTTTCTCCCTAATAGGTTTCCTTAGGAAATTAGGGGGAGAAGAGTCAGATAATTTCTCTCCTAAACTGTAGGAATTTCTTTTTCCCTATTTTCCCCCAACTCTAAAAACAGCTAACTTCTGAAAGGCAGAGACATGGTGAACCACAAAAGGCAGCAAGAGAGAGGCAAGGATATGAAAGAAAG